GGGTCTCAACTCCAGGAGGACCTCCAGAAGCCTGAGGGCCTGGCTGCCCTGAGGGGAGACACCCACCTTTCTTCCCAGATTCTGGGATTGAGATGGGCCAAGAGGGAGAAGTCACACTCCAGGGTTCTCAAAGCTGCCCCACCTCCTCCACCCTCCACAGGGGGAATCCGGAGGGTGGGGACTGAAGGTCTCTGAACTAGAGGAGGGGGCTGCTGTCCTGCCAGGAGGGCCTGCTTCTGGCCAACCACACCTGACAGGGAGTGTCCTGCCCGGGGAAGGGGGACTTCCCAGTCACACAGCTGCAGGGGCTTTGTGGTCCAGCTAAGCAGGTTGGGCCTGAGCTGCCCAGTTTGTTTGCTGCTCCAGGGCAGGAAGGGGAGGGAGATGAAGGAGAAAGCTTGGTCTTGGCCGGAAGGAAAGAAGGAGGGAAGGAGGGAGGTGACTGTCAGCTGCCAGGCTGCACCCCAAGGCTCCCCCAGCCCCCCAAGGCACCATGGGCACCCAGCCCAAGTCACAACTGTGAGGAGGGGGAGCCAATGAGATTGGAAGGGAAACTGGGCAGGAGATGAAAGATGGGCGAGCGTAAGAAGGGACTTGGGGAGAAAGAGGGGACACAGGGGAAGGAGACTCGGCCTCTGGGTGCAGCCCATTCCCCACATGAGGGGGCCTAGCCCCTCAAGTGAGCCCCTATCCTTTGCACCCCAGGGTCAAGGGTGCAGCAATTATTCCAAATGGGCTGTGTGCACCCCTGGGGACACCAAGTCAGGAGGGGGCAGCCACCCCCCCAATGCCTGCCTAGCAGGACCCTGGCTGCCCCCAGGCCCCAAACGGGTGTTTCCTATTTACACAGACCGGCCATAGAGACACTTTCCCAAGCCTGGGTGACAATGACTGGGTGTGTTTTCTGGAGTCTTCTGGAAAGACACTGGCCAGGAAGGGAATGTCAAAAAGAAAAGGCAAAAGTGCCCAACACCCTCTGCTTCAGGGAGGCCCTGCCCACCACCCTTAGGCTGCAGGCTCTGCCTTCTCCAGGCTATTACCTGTCCCCACCCGCTGATAAGCATGGGCTGCGTGAAGGGCGATAAGGTTCTTCTAAAAAAGTCATACTTTGGACTTGCAGGGAACTTGTCACCACATGCTTATCTGATCCTGGGCTCAGTGCAGCTGCAGGACACCAGGCTCAGGGCCCCAGCCCCAACCATGGGAGCCATCTGACACCCAGCCCGCCCCACCCGAGGGGGTGCACAGCGGCCTCTGGAGGGCAAAACCCAACTGCCAAATCTGGGGTCATCCAAACGTGGGCCTCACCGGGCCCCAAACCTGAGCACCTCACACCCCTTATATCCACCACAACTCCTCTGAGACCATCAGCAATAAGTAGGACTCAGGGGAAGGAGTCCAGAACCTGGGAACTCAAGGGACCTCCAAGAAGAGACGCCCTGTCCAGGCAGAGGTGATGCCCTGGCAACCCCAACACAAGCAAAGGGACCTCACAGAGCTGCTGGATTCAGTCCAGGAAGGCAGCATGGAAGAGGTGGTAGACAGATCTCTCATGGCACAAAAGTATTTCAGGCCACAAAACTGACTAAAATGCAAAATACCTGGAGGCCAGAAACAGAAGCCATGAAGCAGAGGGAACAGCCGGAATGATCAGTGCTCTGAGCAGGCTCAGAGTAGCGCCCTGGGCCCGCGTGTGAGGGCAAACGTTACATGCTGTAAACTTGTAATACAGAAT